GTTTCAAACTTTCTGCTGATTTGGCCTAAGTATATCTTACTGAAGTCAGAACACTTCAATTGGTGTAGGGTCTGTTGTTACTGTATATACTTTTTTTCTTTGGTTCAGTGACATGTTTTTCTTCTGGGTTTGTGATATGTTACAGGAATTACATGGATATTCATTTTTGTGCAAAATGTGTTTATACATATATGCAGTTCTTTCTTTTTGTCAACACAGTATATAAGAACAAAGGTCTGGTAATGTGGACTCAAAATCCTCGAAACACGTAACCTTTTAATTAACTTTTCATTATTTTACAATAATAGTTATTTGATTGAAATCTATACATACATGTACAAATATTTAAGAAATACAACATGAAGGTAGCCATTCACTTTTCAGTTCATATTCTACTTTTCACCAACTAAGATAATAAAGTCAAGGATAAAATGGATCAAAACACACACAGCCTTTTTCAGAGAGTTGATTCAGCTAGTCCAACTGTGAGATGAACATACAAGCTGTAACAAAATGTGCTTTATGCGATAAAACATAGGGAAATATACCACAACCTAGCATTACTATGAGTATACAGTATTTCTGTTATGGTCTATCTTGTATTGTTTTTACTGCAATACCCGTTTCCCCTTGTTTCTCTTCTCATGAGATATTCAGACAACTATTTTGCATTCTCATTTAGAGTACTGAGCTGAGATTGTAAAATTATGTTTAAACAGCAAGTTTTCTGTACAATACCTATGTGAGAAATAAATCATATAAACTACGTAAAAGGTTTCACTCTAAGCATATTAGTACTGGAATTCAGCTTGTTCTTGACCCAGAATTTACATTTTTTACTGGTAAAACTTGGTTGCACCTAAGTGGGTTTATCAATTTTCAGAACAACAGATAATGGACCAGTATTAACCTCAGACAGACTTCTGAAGTGCACTTTTAATGTCAGAAGATTGTTGTGTGGTGTGCAATTACAGCTATATAAATAGTAGGAGCCATATTTTTTTTTAACAGGGTATTAATTCAGAGCAGAATGTCAGTGACATTCTTTGGTCCTTGTCCAAATTATGGAAGAATAATGGAAATATGATTTTATGGAAGATAGTGCTACAGCACACATTTCTAATTACATCATTAATTTTCTAACCAGTTAAGTGGGTATGACATCTTAACATGTCATGCACTCCTCTGTATTGGAATGGGTATAACAATTCTACATGTCACACATTTCCAACTACACAAGTGTTGACAAAATGACAGCAATGCAAATTTGTACGTTGTGCTTACTAGACCTTATAGTTATTTCAGAGTGTGACAGGAGGTGCTGATTGCTTGATAGCTGTCCTGGGTTCGAGTTTTTGTGAGTAAACACTATGGCAGGTCATAGCATGAAGATGGTTATGACTAATGAAGTGTTATATGAACTGTTGCAAGAGAATTAACATAGTGATATTTCTGAGTGTATATAGCAATGGCCATGAAATAAACATGAGAATTTCATCCTGGGGTGAAGAAGTGTCTGCTATGATGAAGAAGAAAATGTCAGTGACAAGAGCAGTATGCAGTACAGCATATGGACAGTCAGGTGGTAAGTGACCATGTTTTCAATTTACTGGCAAGCCTGACATGCATGGTGATTTAGAAGACCCAGTACTGAGTTGTTTTCAATTTACTAGCAAGCCTGGCATGCATGCTGATTTAGAAGACCCAGTACTGAGTTGTTCTGTACACCAGAAATTGCAGAAGTAATCGCCAAAAAATGTTTAGAAAATGTGCCTAATCTAAAACTAAGCTCTAGGAGCCATCGCTGGAAGGAAATGAACCAGAAACTGTATAACAAGATCTGTTCTTCCTTGAGAAAACTTCTGGAAATACCCTATTTTTGGACCTGCTCAGTGAGATGAGGTTTCACCTTCTACTCAAGTTGCTTCGTTTTGTTGACAACAAAAAGGGTCAACATCATGAAACAAAGTACAGCTGCGAAAACTGCAGGGTGGCCCTGTGGCAGACTTCTAGAGGTGTGAAAGGGGATTGAGATTCAGCAAGTGGCTAAGAAATGTCTGAATATATGATTTTAGTGGCTAGAGAGTGTACTATGGACTTGCATTGAATTCTGCGCCTTCACAGTATGTGCCACTGGACTTGCAACAGTGTTTCCCATGGTATAATCCTTTTAGTGATGATTTCATATTCTATACAAGATAGTGCTTTTGCAGTCCGTGTTTGGAAGAACAAATAGCTTTTGTTGCACAAATCAATTATCCAAAGTAGGCTTCAACTTACAAATGAAGTACAAATTCAGCCCACGTGGCAATAAGAAACATCTGTTATGAATGACGGAGAGCTATAGTGATGTCACAATAATCAAACATGTGACCGTGTGTTTTGGCTGGAGGTAATTTTACCAGTCAGCTTCTACAATCTTGTTTCCTTTATAAACACCAGACACTGGTCAAGACTATATGCAGTGAGTGTGCATGGGTCAGATATTCCTTTGTGATCACTAGGGACTGGATTTTTATGCCCTAATAATTCCTAAAATATGTATGCATTTATGCATGAAAAACTTCCAAAATATGCACATAAAGTATGAATATAAAAAGTTCATACCAAATATTAAAATTGATTTTACACTATTTTGAGGCCAACAAATCAACATTTAAGTTGATTTTATGTAATCACTGAATGACTCACTTGCAATGAAAAGCTGTACTTATATACAAATCATGCAACAAAGCGAACATTTTTTCATAACAATTTAAAAAACCAATGGTAGCCACATTTAGCCCTCCAATCTTTCCTCAACTTCTCTTCTGTTGCAGTTCACAGTTACTAAATGTTTTGGGTTTTCCACAGTTAGTCATCTTTGTCTCATAAGATGTCCTTATAGAGGGAAAAAACTTCTTTCCACATCACAGGAACTTAAGGGCACATGTACAAAATCCGCTACCTGCTCCACTGTTTTTTACTCAGCAGTTCAGTATGTTTACTGCCTAAAATTTCTTAAATTTCACAAATTTGTTCATATCCTGGATTTTTTTAAAGAATGCTGTGTACTTTTTCCTTTACTACTTCACCAACTCTTCCAGGAACTGAATTCAATTTAGAAACAGTGGTTTTGATTACACTGAACGATTGATACAAAGTAGTATTGCTATTGCTTGCCTTCAGTGAGGATATGGCAGATGGAAGATGAGAGAAGTGAGCAGATATATGGGAAGGATTAGTTTATGGTTCTGTGTTTTTTTTAGAATATCTTGGGTAATCTGAATGGATGCTGCACTTTTACAATCAAATGTATTCATGATATTCCTAACTGTTCCTAAGTGTGTGGTATAATAACTCGCTGCACAAAGCCAAATGTTCCAGTGTGTTAAAATTGGTTACTGCAGAAGTGGAATGTTTGGTGTTACTGCTTTAAAGACTTCTATTCTATATGGTGCTTTAACAAACACCTTCTTCACAGAAGACCACGGTGAAACCCATGGGCAAGGCAAGTCAAATGTGTCATATTTGGAAATATAACTTCTAGAGCAGTACCAGGTTAGATCATATAACTTGCGGCATCAGTCACAAAGAGCAATACACCCTCATACTGACTGCCATTCAACCATTCTAAGTTTATGAGAATTGGGGGGGGGGATTGCAAACTGTGGAGCTATTACTAGTTTCAAACTGCTCCACCACAAGAAGATATTGGGTAGATTGTTTGTTTTCATTAAGGGATCCCACTAAAGTATTTGCAATAAATTGTCCCTCATGGTCTTGTGTTTCATTGATCCACACAAAATTATCTTAAATCTTATCTCTTATGTTTTCAGTATATTCCTGGTACTCATTTCTGTTAGAGGCTGAGTAGACCCCAGGGCCATAGTACGGCTGGAAAGATTAGGTAAATTGAAAACATACGCCTCATTGGGATTCAATCCCGTGACCTTCCGGCTTGTAGCACAGTGCCTCAACCAACTATGCTACTGTGTGACCCAAATTCATACATATATCCAAATGAGCATACTTTCTGGTTGCAAGAAAGAAATACGCATTTGCATTAAAATCCAGTACCTAGCAATATGAATTTGGAACTGAAACGCATGTCAGTGGCAACAGTGGTGTGCTTTTTGAGAATAAAGCCAAAAGTATGGAATTTTACTAAGATATATATTGTGACATGTGGGCTGTTTCTTGGAAGCGAATGGGCCAGTGTTGCCATGGAGAAATTGATTCCTAGAAACCAATTCACTACAAAAAGTGTTTCTGTGTAAATGAACAACCAACAAACATTTCCTAGGATACCGCTAGACTATATACGGTCCGTGCAGAGAAGGATGAATGAGTCAGAATGCAGTCATCATTCAAGTCATTCACAGTAGGAGAAAGTCTAGAAAGAAGACACTCATGGTGCAGTAAGGAATGAAGCAAGTCTTAGACAGTCATCAATTGAGAGCTGTTATAATTGACTGTGATTGAGATATATTGTAACAAGTGCAATAAATAAAATCACCCAACCCAGAACTCACTAGTATTTGTCACAGAACCCTGGACACGTAGTAATACGTACGAGTAAACTTTAATTTAAAGGCTATATAAATGAAAATATAGGTATACGAATTATAATAACTGGGTTTCAGAGACTTTTTACTTTATAATGTTATGACAGATGGTTCAGATATTGAGTTTTAAAAAGGGAACAACAATTATAAAATTAAATGGCGCAGTAAAAAATTTAAATTTTCAGCGAATTTTAACATTCAACTGTGCCATAGGGGGGCAAACAACAGCGTAGTTGGTACAGGCACTATGCTACAACCCAGAAGGTCACAGATCCCTGACAATGTCATTGGACTTTCTCAATTTACCTATCCTTCCAGCTGCATTACTGCCTTAGGGTAGACTCAGCCTGTACCAGAAATAAGTGCCAGGAATCTTCCTGGGAGGTAAAGGGCCGCTGGCGTGTAAGGCTGAGAACACTTACTGCCATCTGTGAGCCCACTATTTAGAAAATGCGGGTGCCTCAATGTCTCACACCCCTGTGGGACTTCATGGCCTGTTACAGAGATAGCTTTACCATTTCTTTTATATGTGGGAGAGAGAAGAGTAGAGAATATAAACACTTAACTGGTTAAATGAGGCATTTGAAGCCAGACTGATAAATCATACATTGTGGCCTGCAAGCACTCCAGACTCAATGACTGCAATTTGTAACTGTGTGGAAACCTAAAAAACCAAAGTGCATTAAAATACTCCCAGGACAATGCATGAATTTTTACGATATATCAAGTGTGTGTAACAGCAGAAGGCAGACATTTTGGGCATCTGCTCATACTGTGTTGAGTTACTCTTAACAACCTATTTACTTTAAAAAATACCATCCCTGTTTATAATGTGTGGCATATTAGCCAAGAATTCGGGGTTTTTGAGAAAGATTGTGCCATGCAAGATGGGAAATGTATACAAAGACTTGACCAGTAAATATGAAGGAAATAACCGGGAAGGGTAACAATTAAATGGATCTTAAAAGAAACATCACCACAGAGTGTGGACTGGGATTCATGCTAGGATAAGCATCGGTGGTAGGCCCTTGTGTTCTAGTTCCATACCAGGCAGAGAAATGATTGACTCTCTGAGCTTTTCAAGAACTCTGCTCCATGGTTAGAACTGGTTACTTAATTAACTTTCAACAGTGTCAACACATATGTTACACAATAGCAAATTTTGTCACATAATATACACACAACTTTTATATTTCAGAAGTCTAAAATTCATTAATTGGAGATGTGTCATAAAAAGAAACCAATTTCTTTGTAACTATGTTTAATATCAAATGCATTCAAACAACTTCGTTCTGTTGTATATAATGTGGACAAACCACACAAGAAATGCTGACATACTTATTACATTCATCCTTTGACTTAATGCCTAATAGAAAACTTTGTGTCCATGGTTAACATAATCACAAGCCTAATTTAAAGACAGATATCAAAACTATATTATTAAACACATACAAATTACCTATCACAAGAAATATGCTTCCTGCCACAATGTAGAGGATTTTATAAATGGCCGTTAAGGAGAGCACTAACTAATGCTATCCAATGTCACATAATTATAAGTACATATACTGTCATGAAAAATATGAATTTGCAGCATGACATTCAGTAACTTTTTTGTATGTACACCATATCTAATGTCTTTTCATTCCACAGTTCATCACTTGAAACACTTGTTCTCTTTGTGTGATTAAAACACAACTAATGGAATACACTCAGTTAATAAAAGGCCAGTGGTGAATAAATTTGTCATCACAATTTCTTATTATGCTCCTATTTAGTTCATGTGAAAACAGTCACAGGGATTTCTATTAGTATCTAGTACAGATAATTTGTATTCTGTGAACAATGGCAGAGACAAATTTTAATTTTCTGTGAACTAAATGTTACAAATTAATTTAGACTGATAACACACAAACGTCTTCAATGCTTCTGATGTAGGACTTGGCTCAAAATTTTAGTTGGGACATTAAAGCCTGTGTCAGTTTTAGCATGATTTAGTGGCATCCAAAACAAGATGTGCAATACTGATGAATTAAAGTCAACTAATCCTATGAATGTATCCTTAACAAATGTTTACAGAATAACATATAGGTGCCTGCAATAACATTTCTTTTAAACTGTGAAGGTTACATACATAAGAACCAAAACTGAAATTCAGTTATAGAAGCAGAATTGCAACCGAATAAGATCAGCACATGTACCAAGGGACATAAAAATGAAACAGCTGTCATGAATGTCTGATATGAAAATATCTGTATGAATAAAACAATTAATATAGATCAGCATGATTCAGAGACCTTGACCAAGATGGATTCATCATTTGGAAATGGAACAAGCCTTATAGTTCATAAAGACAATATTTAAAATAAGCTTCACAGGAATCCACAGGAAGGGAGGTAGACCTGATCTGTAAAATCTTCATTACACTATCCTTCAAAATTACTTCAGAGATTCTGTACAAGCAATAAAAGATAGAAATCCATTTTTCTTTCCAACATAGCCTCCTTTGAAATTTAGTCCATGCCACATCCATTACGATATAAATCAACTAACAGCTATGCTGATGACAGGTTAGAATAGGACTGATCTGTCAGTGCAAAAACCCTGCTTTTTGCCATACCACACATAAATCAAGAGAACGAATGTCCATTAAGAACAAACAGAAAATTGTTAGCATCAATAAGTACTTGGCATGTGTGTAATTAACATAATCTCTTCCAACCCTATAACCTGTTAACTAACTGTAGAGGATAATATGATACTTGGATATATAACAATACTCATTTAAAAAATTTTAGGGTGCTACATCTGTGTTTATCTATTACCCTGTAACAAGGCTTTCCTTTGTTTCACCAACTGAAGAAACTGTTGAAGTTTCAGTCTTCTTACTATCAACTATCTGTGATGCTAAAATGTTGACATCTCCTGGTCCCATTGGTTTCAGTATTTGTATACTATCAGTACTGGAGTTACGTGAGAGCTGAGCTCGAAGAGGACGGATGGTTTTTAGCTTGGTTGTGCCTCCATATGTGAAGTGGACATCAGAACATGTATCAAGAGGATGAATATGACTGGTTGCTGCTGGTGATGTGGGAGTAACATTTCCACTGTCACTGCTCTCACACTGAGAGGTTTCAATAACTGTATGACTACCATGAGTCCCAAGTTCAAACGAACTCTGAGAAGACTTCAGTTTGAAGTGGGGGACAGGCAGAGGCACAGAATTAGACTTCTCATAACTTGCAACATCTGAAAGTGGAGAGTTCTTAGTAATATCCACCGTTGCTGAAGCACTACCATTACTTGTACAGTTTGCTGAGACATTTCTTTTTAAAACAGTTTCACTATCTGTCACTTCAGATAAATTATTTACAGCATTTAATCTCTGCTGCTTAATTTGATTATGAGCACTAGCAAAAAATGATGACATTCCAGATAATTTTGTTGTTAGATTTGGTGAGCTGAGAGTTGACTTGAGAGGATACGGCATATCTCGAAGTTTCTCTTCACCTCGCTTGGGTTTTGTGGAGATTTCACTGTCAGCTGAGTTTGTTCTTACTTCTGCAATGTTGCATCGAGATGAATCTTCACTTATTGTAAGGGGCATGACCTTTTGAAGTGGGTTCTCTGGTTTTGGGCTTTTGAGTAGACTCTGGCCTGCGGTGCTGCGTCTGCGTTCAGCCACAGAAAGCTGGGCCACAACGCGACGGATCTCACCTGGTATCTCAATGACTGAATTAGTTTCAGCTAGGGATGCTATGAAATGCCCCATTGTGGCCACACTAACTTCAAGGCTGCGAACCTGTGATTCCAAGCGTGCCAGGGATGCCTGCTGGTGTGCACGACTCGTCTCCAATCGGTGGATGTTGCTTGTGGCAATCTGGGAACATAACAGTGGACTATTTGAGCTTCTCTTTCCATTGGAGGTGCCAGGTAATCTGTCAATGTCTATTATTAAACATCTATCAACTAAACTCTTGACAGCTTAGTATCAAATGGTTCCACAGTCTCACACGCAATACATCTTTCTAGAAAACTTACTGAAAGCTATTCACTTTATAAGTTTTACACATCACACAAATTTAATTTTTTAAAAGTCTTTCACAACATGTTTCTATCAATACGGTCATCATCGGGCGTTTATAATTATAGATGAGGAAACTGCCATGCTTCCGTATCTGGACTTTGGCTATTAATATATGGTTCCCTCTATGTGCATGTGTATTAGAAGTGGCAGGTTCTCCCTGCAGTGTTATGCTGCGTGTCTTATTTTACAACTGAAGGCATATGAGAACAGGGAGCTCAGGAGAATATCTGGACTGAAGAGAGATAATTGCATAATGAGGAGCTTAATAACTTGTATTCTGCAAAAAATGATTAGTATGATCAAGTTAAGGATGATGAGATGAGCAGGGCATGTAACATACATGGGGGAGAAAAGGAAAGTCTACAGGTTTCTGGTGGCAAAGTCAGAAGTAAAGAGACCACTATGAAGACCTAGATGTAGATGGAAGGATAGTATTTAGATGGATCTGAAAGAAATATGATGGTGTGGTCTGGACTGCATTCATATGGCTGAGTACAGCAGCTAGTGGCATGCTCTTGTGAACGTTGTAATGAAACTTTGAGTTCCATAAAATGTTTGGAAATTATTGCGAAGATAGGCAACTGACAGCTTCTCAAAAGGGCGCCGATCCATGGAGTTAGTTATACAACAGCTTATCTACATGTTTTATGGCCTGTTGATGAACACCAAGGCTGAAACATGTACCTAAGTGACTGTACATAATAAGAATTCCATGCAAGGTTGTGTTAGTGATGCATATGTGTACTAGAAAGCATATATTATATATATAAACAATGCTGAAATTTTCATATTAATTGGGTAGAAGGGTTAGGATGTGTCTCTTAACCCATCAGCATGGAATACCATACACTTCATGCTGCATAGCTGTCACCTACAAGTAGGGAGTGTTGTGCATTACACGCACATGAATGCTTGTANTAGGATGTGTCTCTTAACCCATCAGCATGGAATACCATACACTTCACGCTGCATAGCTGTCACCTACAAGTAGGGAGTGTTGTTGTGCATTACACGCACATGAATGCTTGTGCTTTGTACTGCCATCTCATGAACAGTATTTGAACCACATGGATTCTGCTTGCATGCTTTACAAAATGAAGGTTCAGACAATGGAATGTCAATTGGATCCACTGATTTTTCTTCCAGTAAATGATGTTGGATGCCACTGTACATTAATTGTTAGTAGACATGGTGTGAACTGTACAGTGCTCAGCATAAGAGGAAACTTCAGAATGCTGCAATTAAGCTTTACCTCTCATACTTGGGAGAGGTATGCATGAAGTTGTGTTCAGAACCACTACTAAGATACCCACCCTCTTTCTATGGCTTTAAATCATCTGTTCAAGTTGCACAAGAAACTGAAAGACACAATGAAAAGGAAATACTCAGAGTGGTTAGCAATGGCATATAAACATGCACTGCATCTGCTAAGGAATTTGTGCAAAATGTCATCTGAAACTGAAGCAACAACATTTGTTATCTCACTCTGAAGAACTTTAGCATGGAATGGGTGTGGTTTATGATGAGAATTTCATTAAAGTAACAAAAATAATTTGGTACTATCAATTTCATAATCTTATATATATATATATATATGTGTGTGTGTGTGTGTGTGTGTGTGTATATATAAGGAAAATTGTCACATAAATTGACAGCTTTGAGCACTGTAACCTTTCCATAACTTCTGCACCACGTGCACGTGCAGTTTTGCTTCCTGCAGCATTTTTAAGTTGATCACAGTGGCCAAGCAATCTAAAGCATAAAATGTCTTCACCTGCTTGAACACTGGGATCATGAGTTCAAATCCCACTCAAGGCATGGATGTCTGTTTGTGTTTATTCTGGCTTTGTGTTAGGTAGCGGCCTTGTGGTGGGCTAATCCCTGCCCAAGGAGTCCTACCAACTGTCTTATTTTATATTTTCAAACACTGGACTAGCGCTTTCTAACGGGCCCAACTGAGTAGGTTTATCCTTCCCTATCCACCTGAAGACGGAGACAGAGCCAGTCTCCTTCGTGGTCTTTTGTCTTTTACATACCAAATGATGGGTGAAGTCAAAAATAAATCAAAAGAAGTACAGTATACACCATCGTCAGAATCCTTTCAAGTCTATCAAAAATAAGTGTTAGAAATGAGCTTTTTATAAATTTCGCAAATTTTTGTTACGTCAAAGTTACATTCAAACAAGTAGTTAATTTAATTTTAAGTTTATTTTCATTATAGATCGGAATATAAACACAACAATTAATAAACCCCAGAAAGTGATTACCTCAAGCTGTTCCTCAAGAGCTCGATTCTGTTGAAGGAGTGCTCTGTTTGCAGCCTCAGCTTTGCGCAATGCCTCCATCTCTTCTGGGCGTGGAGATGACATTTCTTCCTGCAGCACATGGTACTCCACCTCATATTCATGCAGTTGTTTGCTCACATCCATTGTGAATACCTGTGAACACAAAATGCTTATGTAAGTTTTGAGGTTTTCACGGCGATGACAATGAAGAAAGTTGTCTTCTGGGTTTAGGCACTGTGTATTCTTCGTTTTGGCCAACGTTTCGGAGGAACGTAGCGCCTCCATCTTCAGAGCAGTTGGATAGCTGCGGAGAGCAGTAGCTGTGGTGATAGGATGTGGAAGGTGCTGCTTATATACGAAGTAGGCAGGGGGGGTGGTT